CATGGTGGCTCAGTGGTTGCTGCTGGGCTGGCTTTGTGTGTCAGAGGGGCGTGGCCAAGGCCCTCACCCCCCACCCTCAGGATTGGTTGTGGGTGTCAGGGGGCATTGCTGAGGCCCCCACCCTCTCTCCCTACTGGCCTGGTAGCCCAGGGACTTCTGGTAACTTCTAAGTATTATAGGTGTTCTTTGGTGAAATGAGACCTTTATCAGTTAATATCAAACTTTGTCTCTGGTTGCAGGTACTTTGTTTTTTCTTTCAGTTCTGTGTTGGATTATTTGCCATTCCCACCATTTGAACTCTGCGCTGGAACTAATTTTTTGTCTTATGCTTATTTCTAAAATGGGGACTTCCTGTACTTGAGCTGTGTGGTTGAGCTAAACTGCTGCTTTGCTGATGATTCCCTTGGGAAGGCTTTTTGGGTAGCTCAGGTTTTAATGGTTGACTTTATAGGTACTTCCGGGTCTCAAAAGATCCAGTACACCTGGGTTGTGTGTAAACTCTGATCTGAACCTGAGTCTTTTCATTAAGCTGCACACCATGCAATACTATATTCCTGACCCGTCTCCTCTGAGGGGTCCTTCACTGATTGTGGGGGCAGATCAGCTGTCCTTGCTGTGCCCCAGTGTTCTTCCAGTGGGCCCATCTCCCTCACAGCCCGTGCTGCAAACACTTCCCATGGGATGGGCTGGGCACCAGTTCCACTCACCGGCCTTTGAGTGGCTCCTTTTTTTCAGTTGCTGTGGTTGCTCACTCCTATGTGGGTCCGTGGGAACCCTATTACTGGTCTTGCTGGCCTGGGGGCCACCAAAGCCTTCTTATCCCCTGCCACCTCCAAGCAACTTCATCCGAAGGGCACAGCTGTGGCTTTTGCCGGTTCCTGCTCCATGAGCTCGGCAGCTCCAGCCTGGAAGTGGCCGGGATTCAAAATGCTCCCAGCAGTTTTTTCTTTCTCTCATCACGGTTTCTCCTGCCTTCATACACTCCATAGTTCTCTCCTCCTCTTCCCCTGAGCTCTAGTGGCCCCAGCTTGGCTGTCATTGCTTTTTTATATTTGTAAATTGGTTCATTTGTGGCAGAGAGTGACACTGAGGACTGTCTATTCTGCCATCTTGACCAGAAGTCCCTTATTTATTTTTTTATCAGTCTCTCCCATTGAAATGTAAGCTCCATGCAGCAGAGACTTTTGTCCATTTTGGTCACTGCTAAATCCTCTGTACCTAGAACAGTGCCTGGCACAGTGTAGATACTCAATAAATAATAGTTGAATGAATAAGTGAATGTACGCAGCCATCCTGTGAAGTAGGTGGGATGAAGATGACTTCCCTCTGTTATAGATCAGGACATTGAAACTGGAGACTAGGATCTTATCAGACACACAGAGGTAATCTGAAACACATGCACAATGGACTTTCTTGAAGCAGAGTGACATGGGGCACCCCGCACCAATGGCTTCCACCGGGCCAGGCACGACCAAAATTAGATGTGTCTTAGATTGTAGTTTCTTGGTAAAAAAAAAAAAAAATGGTGCCACGAATTTGGGGGTTTGGTTTGGTTATTGGACACTGTCCAGGATGGCATCACATACCACCTGGGGCTTCATAAGCACTATTTAGTGGGGACAACAGCGTGCATGGCCATGTCCTTAGCTCCTCAGTGGTTTCAGCTGCCTGCTCCCCCCTACCTGGCCTCATTCATCGGGGAGAGTGGCAGCTGGTGGAGGGGCACCCACACCCCATGGGTGGCAGAGGAAGCCCAAGGTCAGGGACACGGGCTCTCTGCAGAGGTAGCAGCCCTTGCTGATTGCAGGGAACGTCTTCCAGGCCATTGGCTGCCATTGCCACTTCCTCTCCTGTTCCTGTTCTTGGGTCACGTTTCCTCACAATGCATTGAATGAATGAAAATAAAAATGTAGAATTTCAGCTGAATTATGCCAAAGCTTTCCAAGCAAATGCATGAATTTAAGCAGAGCGAAGTTTCAAATCAAGGGGGCTCAGAGTAATGTCTATTCCGCTAATAATGAAAAGTACAAATGCTTTTATGTCCAATGGGTAACAAATGGGATTCTTTCTCTACTCAGTTACAAAGTGGAAACTGATCTTTGCTTTAATACTCTTGTATTTTCTAAGCGATTAGAAATATTTTAATTCTCTACTTAGCATGTAAGAGCTTGAACAGATCAGAGACTTTTTTTTTTTTTTAAACTAACGTTTCCTTTTTTAAACTAACATTTTCCCCTCTGGAAAGTAGATTGAAATTTTAAAGTAACAGGTTTTCAAATAGCACACTTAGAATTTGTCTGCATAATTATTGCATTTGTCATGAAATCAGTACTTTCAAAAAGTATGTTTCTGCACAAGATATTCATTCTGTCCAGAAGTGTGGCTCTTCAGAGCTTATTATGTGGATTTAGGCACAATGGTCCCAGCTCCTTCTACTAGAACTTTTGTTATAAAGGCAATCATTCCGAATAAAATGGAAGCCGTTTATGTTAATAAACCAGCAGGAAAATGAAATCTGTTGAAATGTTCTACACTCTCCAGCAGCACCATTGGTAATTCATGGTGGCTGTATCTGTTTCATTAGCTTTTCCAAATCACCTGTTTTGCTGACTTTTCACAGCAAACAATTGCCACCATTACCCATCGGAATTTTCTTTGATTCCTTATGTTCTTAGTAGCAGGTGTACGTTTCCTCTAAAAAAAAAAAAAAAGCTATGCCTTTGTCCCTCCTCCACTGGAAAGTGTTCAGAGCCATTCCTGGTAAGAAAGCAGCATTCGTTGCTGTCACTTTCTGGTCTTGGGCTTGCAAAGAGTGTGGATAATGGTCCATGTTTTCCCTTCCAGGTGGAGGGGACACACAGACATAATTGAAACTTACAATGTCAGGGGGTAATTTTATTCCATTACTTTTAATGAAAACGAGACGCTATCCTGGCTAACATGCTGGCAAAGAGCCTTTAGAAGCCCTCAGCTCCCACGTGTAACTGAATGCAGGTGCATGTAACACTCTGTCCTCGTGGCCCCCTCCCCCTGCCCCGTACTCCATGCAGAGACACGCTGTCCGTGGTCAGGAAATGCAGTGAACCACAGGTAATGAGCTCAGTATCCGTTTGCCTTGTCAGATCTCCCAGCTGATGACAGAGAGTGGCCGCGAGGGACTGACAGAAGCCGCGCTGAACCGCTACAATGCAGACAAGCCGTCCGCCTGCACCGCCCCAGCCTCGCAAGGCTCCTGCGTGGCCAGCGAGCCTTCCTCGGGCACCTCGGTGGCTGCTTCCTTCTTTGCACGGTAAGAGAGGTGCTCGGACCCTTGTTTTTTCCCATGAACCCATCTGGTTAGCCTCTTGCATGGACCAGGTCAGCTAAAACCCCAGAAAGAGTTTGGGCCTATTCTCTCACCTCACTCTTGAAGACAGGACTTCTTGACCTTGACACATGTCGGATCAAAGAACTCTTTGTTGTGGGGAACTGTCCTGTGCAGGATGTTTAGCAGCTTCCCTGGCCTCTACCCACTAGATGCCAGTAGCACCCCTCCCCCAGCTGTGACTACCAAAAATATCTCCAGACATTGCCAAATGTCCCCTGGGTTGAGAGCCACTGCTCCAAGAATACATGGCTCTAAAGACAGTCCTCCTGGGGATCAGAACTTTTGAAGGTGCAGCCCTATGGCTGGTGTTTCCAGATTTATCTACTCATTACAGAAAATGAACTGCTTAAAAATTAACTATTAAATAGATGGCAATTTTTTTTCTTCTTGACAGACTAGCTGAATGGTCATCAAAAAATATCCAGCTAATCTTGGAAACTTTTAAAAGATGAGAAACAAAAAAGAAAGGTATTTCAGCAATGTGTTCTGCCTAATTTTAGCAATGTGGCAGAGACAGGGCAGGAGACAAAGGACAGCTGGACAGGAAAGAACTTCGGGAATTGTCTAATTCGATCTCTTTATTTTATGAATGAGGAAACTGAGGACCAGGAAAATTCATCTAAGAGTCAGTTTATAGCAAAGCCAGAAATAGAAACCAGTTTCCTCTACTTTTTTTCTCTATGACTCATTCTTTATTTGATACCTGGAAATCTTTCTCTACGTGAGATTCGCAAGCTCCTGAGCAAACAAGACAAGACATGAAATTAGAGGGTCCCCTGGGTTCAAGGTTCAGTGCCCCCTGAGTTTTCTCATCTATAAAATGAGGATAATTCTTACTCTGCAGGGTCGCTCTGAAAATTAAAATGAGATAGTTACAAATTATAAAGTATGATACACATGTTAATTCAATATGGATTTTGCTAGTGTGTCAGCAACAAGGAATATCGTATGGCTTTTCTTGTATCCGTATGAATGGTAATATGCAAAACACAAATATGAGGAAGGGGCTCTGATTAGGAAAGGATAAGGTCAGAGGAGGGACAGAGGGCTCATACCCTGGATTAAGACCCATAGGGAGCACAGGGAACTTACTGTTGGAAGACTGGCTTTGTGGGTCTGATCGTATTCTGATGCCATGTTTATTGACTTCTGAACACTTGGGCCAACTTGAATGTGTGGGCAGTGTCAGGATATGTGTGTGTGCTGCCACCCGACAATGGGCCATTGTGTTAGCTCTGTCCGTACGTGAATCTCTGTTGTCCCCGACCATGGAGCGGGTAACAAGCTCACTGGGAGGTCATGTCCATGTCATTTAGGAAGGAAATGAAGAGATAGACCAGCTTATGAGAAAATGCCACCAGCACTAGCACAGAAGATCCTAGGACCTAGGAGGGTAATTAGAGTGTGTCNAAAAAAAAAAAAAAGCTATGCCTTTGTCCCTCCTCCACTGGAAAGTGTTCAGAGCCATTCCTGGTAAGAAAGCAGCATTCGTTGCTGTCACTTTCTGGTCTTGGGCTTGCAAAGAGTGTGGATAATGGTCCATGTTTTCCCTTCCAGGTGGAGGGGACACACAGACATAATTGAAACTTACAATGTCAGGGGGTAATTTTATTCCATTACTTTTAATGAAAACGAGACGCTATCCTGGCTAACATGCTGGCAAAGAGCCTTTAGAAGCCCTCAGCTCCCACGTGTAACTGAATGCAGGTGCATGTAACACTCTGTCCTCGTGGCCCCCTCCCCCTGCCCCGTACTCCATGCAGAGACGCGCTGTCCGTGGTCAGGAAATGCAGTGAACCACAGGTAATGAGCTCAGTATCCGTTTGCCTTGTCAGATCTCCCAGCTGATGACAGAGAGTGGCCGCGAGGGACTGACAGAAGCCGCGCTGAACCGCTACAATGCAGACAAGCCGTCCGCCTGCACCGCCCCAGCCTCGCAAGGCTCCTGCGTGGCCAGCGAGCCTTCCTCGGGCACCTCGGTGGCTGCTTCCTTCTTTGCACGGTAAGAGAGGTGCTCGGACCCTTGTTTTTTCCCATGAACCCATCTGGTTAGCCTCTTGCATGGACCAGGTCAGCTAAAACCCCAGAAAGAGTTTGGGCCTATTCTCTCACCTCACTCTTGAAGACAGGACTTCTTGACCTTGACACATGTCGGATCAAAGAACTCTTTGTTGTGGGGAACTGTCCTGTGCAGGATGTTTAGCAGCTTCCCTGGCCTCTACCCACTAGATGCCAGTAGCACCCCTCCCCCAGCTGTGACTACCAAAAATATCTCCAGACATTGCCAAATGTCCCCTGGGTTGAGAGCCACTGCTCCAAGAATACATGGCTCTAAAGACAGTCCTCCTGGGGATCAGAACTTTTGAAGGTGCAGCCCTATGGCTGGTGTTTCCAGATTTATCTACTCATTACAGAAAATGAACTGCTTAAAAATTAACTATTAAATAGATGGCAATTTTTTTTCTTCTTGACAGACTAGCTGAATGGTCATCAAAAAATATCCAGCTAATCTTGGAAACTTTTAAAAGATGAGAAACAAAAAAGAAAGGTATTTCAGCAATGTGTTCTGCCTAATTTTAGCAATGTGGCAGAGACAGGGCAGGAGACAAAGGACAGCTGGACAGGAAAGAACTTCGGGAATTGTCTAATTCGATCTCTTTATTTTATGAATGAGGAAACTGAGGACCAGGAAAATTCATCTAAGAGTCAGTTTATAGCAAAGCCAGAAATAGAAACCAGTTTCCTCTACTTTTTTTCTCTATGACTCATTCTTTATTTGATACCTGGAAATCTTTCTCTACGTGAGATTCGCAAGCTCCTGAGCAAACAAGACAAGACATGAAATTAGAGGGTCCCCTGGGTTCAAGGTTCAGTGCCCCCTGAGTTTTCTCATCTATAAAATGAGGATAATTCTTACTCTGCAGGGTCGCTCTGAAAATTAAAATGAGATAGTTACAAATTATAAAGTATGATACACATGTTAATTCAATACGGACTTTGCTAGTGTGTCAGCAACAAGGAATATCGTATGGCTTTTCTTGTATCCGTATGAATGGTAATATGCAAAACACAAATATGAGGAAGGGGCTCTGATTAGGAAAGGATAAGGTCAGAGGAGGGACAGAGGACTCATACCCTGGATTAAGACCCATAGGGAGCACAGGGAACTTACTTAAACACAAATATGAGGAAGGGGCTCTGATTAGGAAAGGATAAGGTCAGAGGAGGGACAGAGGGCTCATACCCTGGATTAAGACCCATAGGGAGCACAGGGAACTTACTGTTGGAAGACTGGCTTTGTGGGTCTGATCGTATTCTGATGCCATGTTTATTGACTTCTGAACACTTGGGCCAACTTGAATGTGTGGGCAGTGTCAGGATATGTGTGTGTGCTGCCACCCGACAATGGGCCATTGTGTTAGCTCTGTCCGTACGTGAATCTCTGTTGTCCCCGACCATGGAGCGGGTAACAAGCTCACTGGGAGGTCATGTCCATGTCATTTAGGAAGGAAATGAAGAGATAGACCAGCTTATGAGAAAATGCCACCAGCACTAGCACAGAAGATCCTAGGACCTAGGAGGGTAATTAGAGTGTGTCCAGAGGAGGGTAACCACAGTGTCAAGGAACTCAGAAGCTATGTCACAGCAGGTTTAGTCTGGAGGAGAGAAGGATCAGGGGTCCATGAGAGCTGCCCTCAGCTACCTCTTGGGTCATTGTGTAAAAGGGCCATTGGTCGGTTCTGTAGGGCACCCAAGTGTGTAGGCAAAGGCTGAATCAAACCTAGCGAAGGAAGGAAGATATCTCCCCACTCAGAATGTAGGAGAATTTGCTCCCGATTCCAAGTGACCCAGGAGAGAGAGGCCCCTGTCTCTGAGAGAGATCAAGGTTACCTTGAGTGATTACCTGGCCTTGATGCTGGGGGGATTATTCCGTGCTCAGATCAAAGCTGATCTCTGATTCACCTTCCTAACCCCAAAGTCTTTGAATATGAATAGTCCATCCAAGTCAAATTGTACAGAAAATTGACTCACAAAAAACCCCGGAAGAAGGATTTGAAACAGGAAGACATAAGAGATTAGTGCGTCTAATGGACAGTGTTTAGGGAGAACAGGAGTTGCCTCGTGGCAGGAAACCAGCAGTGTCTTTAAAGCCAGGTGAAGGACGTGGAAATGAGACAGGCCTGGGAATGCACAAGGGCTGGGTAAGGGCTTTGCCTGAAGCTAGACTTTCCCCAAATCACGGGTGAAGATGGTCTTCTCTGAGACTCTTGTTTGTGCAGCCAAGGAGTGGAATGGATCCAGTGGGGTGAATCCACAGTGGATGGGCTGGTGACATCAGGTGCGGGGGCCCCACAGATGACACTAGCAGTAAACAACGACTGCAGAATCGCATGGGCTTGCAGTGTGAGCTCTCAAAGAGCTGGAAAGAATCCACAGGGCTGTCTCGTCTGAATCCTTGTTATTACTTTCTTTGTGGTGAACTGTTAGCATTTGCAGCTTAATGAGATAAGCATTGAAAGTCCATGGTTTGGGCCTTATGGCCAGTTAGCTCAGTAGGCTAGAGCCTGGCCTTAGAACACCAAGGTCAAGGGTTTGGTTCCCTGTACTGGCCAGCTGCCAATAAATGAATGAATGAATGAATGAATGAATGAATGAGTAGACTAAAGAGATGTAAAGATCAAATGCATGATCATGGACTGGACCCTGGACTGGGTAGGGGGAAGCTTTAAAGCACATTAAAAAAAAAAAGGGGGGCCGGCCCGGTGGTGCACTGGAGAGTGCGCCACTTGGGAGCGCGGCGGCGCTCCCGCCAAGGGTTCGGATCCCATGTGGAGACCGGTTCCCGCTCACTGGCTGAGCGTGGTGCGGGCGTGACGCCGAAGGTTGTGATCCCGTTGCCGGTCAGTAAAAAAGACAAAAAGGAAAAAAAAAAAAGTCCATGGTTTGTGTTCAAAGGGTTTATAATATATGTAGAGGAGAGAAAAGTACCATGTGAAAAAGAA